TCAACAGGTTGGGTCAACAGGTTGGGTCAACAGGTTGGGTCAACAGGTTGGGTCAATAGGTTGGGTCAATAGGTTGCTTCAACAGGTTGCTTCAACAGGTTGGTTCAACAGGTTGGTTCAACTGGTTGCTTCAACTGGTTGCTTCAACAGGTTGGGTCAACAGGTTGGTTCAACAGGTTGGTTCAACAGGTTGGTTCAACAGGTTGCTTCAACAGGTTGCTTCAACAGGTTGGTTCAACAGGTTGCTTCAACAGGTTGGTTCAACAGGTTGGCTCGACTGCACAGTGCAGTGTGAATGCAAACGCTCCAGCTCAAATGTAACAAAAGGTCATGCATATTGGTCCAGAACCGAGTCTACTGGACTATCTGGTGTGAAAACGACCTTAATGTCTGCAGTTGGCTGCACCAGTTGAACTACGTTCTAGCAGCCGTGACTCGTTCTCAGGGCTCAAAGGTCAAAAACACAAAAGGCAGAAAGCGCAAGTGAAACAAAATGTGGACAAAAGTGCGTCTCAGTTCCTGCTTTTAGTTTAGTATCATGACAAAAAGGAGATGATAAAGAGAAGCAGCAGCACCTGTCTGTCCGTACCTGGCTGAAGTTCATGTAGATGTATTCTCTGGCCTTCTGGTGGAGCTCGGTGCAACCGATCTGCTCGGCGAAGCTGTCGATGCCGATGGCGTTGCTGGGGTCGAGCTGCTGGACGAGGAAGTCGCAGCAGGCTTTGACCACGCTGTCGATCTGGTACATGACGGCACCGTTCATCACGTGAATGACACACTTCTCCCCCACAGAGATGCTGGCAGTGTAGGCAAACTCTATCAATCTGTCCATCACCTGAACAAGTGCCACAAAACCAGGAAAACTCATGGATACGATTACAAAACCTCGTTTCTGGACCTTTGTACTCCCCACAACAAATGAATACAGAATCCACACCGAGTGACAGACGTGACGTGAACTTAGCTAAACGTACAGCAGCCTGTAAAAGGTCAAAGAACACAGAAATGTTGTCGTCTTTAACCTTTTATTTGACTTTTTGGGTCAAACTAAGAGCTTTTAGTTTAGACACTTTGTCGTGCGGATAATAAGAAATAGCCTTTATTCAGTTTTACAGATCATAATTAGGGCTGGGTGATATATGGATACTTTACAAATATCTAGATCATTTAAAACGCAATAGAAAACGGGATTTGAAAAAGAGACACAGCAGAGCCGCACGTCGTTTGTTTTTAGCTTTTTAGCTAGCTAGTATTGCGCGCAACTAATTAGCGTTACACCAGTACAAACAGGTTTGGGGGGGCAGTTTGGTTCAGTAGTTCAGCCCGCTCAGTTCCGTTAATGGGGCGGGGCAAACACTGACGTACTGACGTCATGAAATTAGCATATCATGATATCATTTATTTTCCCGGGCAAGCTTTTTTCCCGGTATTCTCGTGAACGATATGATGTGGCCCAGCCCTAAAATTTACCTGCTTCTTATGCCCTACTCAGCCTGGATTTGAACCTGCACTTTAGGACCGATTCTGGAGGCGTGTCCAGAATCCAAGTCCTGCTAACGAGAGTTCTGCTCCTCAGATAAATATCAAATTATTATTTTATACATGAATGTTTCTGTTCAGCGCCTGACACGACTTCTGTTGTGACTTGGTGCTTTAGAAATAAACTGAACTGAATTAAATCTGATTAACCAGATTCTACAAAAAACATTTATATTTAAATCTAAAAAAGTTAAGTCTGGTCCTCTGGACGTTCAAAAACAAACAAACAAAAAAGTAGAAATGTTTCTTCTTTCATCCAAAAGACTTCTTCAGTCTGAGGCGCTTATTCAGCTCACAGCTATTTATATAAGACTGAGCTGAATAAGCTCCTCAGACTGAAGAAGTCTTTTGGATGAAAGAAGAAACATTTCTACTTTTTTGTTTGTTTTTGAATGTCCAGAGGACCAGACTTAACTTTTTTAGATTTTTCTACCTGGATTATTGAGCATGCATCAGGATATCTATATTTTAAATTCTATATGTTTCTTCATCATTTGATGTATTTGCACTCATTTGTTTCTTGTATACAGATTATTTTTCCTTGTTTACAGATTATTTTTAGCTTTGAATTAAAGTTTAGCTTTAGATTTAAAGCTTTAATTAAGAGTGTAATTCTTGTTTTATGATTTGTTCATCTGTGGGTTAGAATAACGTTGAACCAAAGTCTGTGTTTCTTCTTTGATCATGTTGGAGGGAAATATGAGATTCAATAATTGTGTCTTTTTATGATTTTTCAGTTGAATTAACTTTAACAGATTATTTAATAAAGTCAAAGTGAAAACAGGATTTCACGATAAAGCCGTGAAACCTGTTTATTTATTTTTAATCTTCACTGATTACCCTCCATCCCGGTCCTCCCGCCTGCCAGGGCTCGAATCCGGCCTTTGTGAGCAGGTTGAGGCCGGGGCTCGGGGTTCGGCCTCGCGGCTTCGACGTCTCGGCAGCTCGTATGATCCTCCGCGGTGACTCCGCTCGCTCCAATTTTGTCGTCAGTCATCAAACACAAAAAACGCCTGGACCTCAGAACTAAACACGGCGTTGTCATTATTGTTTTTAAAATCTTAAAAATAGTTCCAGCCGCTGCTCCGCATCCAGAGAAATTGCAAATGGCGGCTCAGTGAAAAGTTTCTGAGTCCCCTGACCAATCAGATCCAGTGACCCCTCCCCCTGACCAATCAGAT